AAGTGGCAGCTTACTTAATTAGAGTATCCGACTGGTTGGAAGCCTCGCGAAGGGTCTTTGCTCACTTTCTAACTCGCATTTCGCTCTCCATACTCGAGTACGTGGAATGGGTATGGTACGATGCTGCGTAATCGCGGCCCCAAACCGAAACCCAGACCCCATCCCAAAAACCAATCCAACCCAATCCAAACCAATTCAACTCAATTCCAATCCCAAATCCAGTCGCGTTCGTGGGTCTTCTTTGTTGTTGGGAGTTTATGTGGCTGTGTTACCACAAGAGTTCGAAATCTGAAGTATCATAAACATTCACTTTTATCTACGAAATGCAGCGACAGCTGGAGCGTCGTCACCCAATTTCCTGCTGCTACTTGATACAGTTTTAAAGCGCGGACAAGGTCGTTGGAGAGCCGCCTGTCAGTCAGTCAGTCGGTCCTAATACATTTTTTTTTTGTTTCCACCCATTTGTTTTTGTTGTGGCTTATGCAACAGACAGACTTCATAACAATTGCTTAAGGTAATTGTGTCAGTCGGTAAGTCCGCCAGTGAGTTAGTGGCTCCTTTATTCCTGTCAATATGTCATCGCTCTAGATACTCTTACTTTCTTCTGGGGAAAACAATTTGGCTTCCCAATCCTCACTCCACTGAGACACTTCAGGCTGTGTAAATACTCACGATTAATAACACTTGAGTCCAGTCTCGATGGCAAATTTCTTTGCCGCCGAGAGTCTTTGGCCTTTGTGGGCCATACAATACCATCATAATGGAGCGTTAAATGGGCCAGCACCGCCAGCATCATCATCATCATCATCACACAAGCCACATCAAAGTGGCGCCAAAGGGCATCGAATATAATGCGAATATCCGTATGTACTTATTGTTTCTTTCTCACAAGCCGCCTTTTTGGCAGGGCCAAATTATTGAAGTGCTTCCAGAAATAGTCTTCAAAGTGATCGCACAGTTTGAAGCGATTCGACAGGGGCTGGGAGAAGGTGTCAGTATGCAAATTGGCAAGGGTCGAATTGATTGATCACCTCTCAAAGTAATTATGCATAGTAATTGGGCAAAATAAGCGAAACAAAGAGGGCTGCATAAAATATGGTAGCTGCCCATGGTGCGTATACGTGATGGAAACAATTTGAGAAGGGTCAATTGCTTAACAATGCGATAAAGCTCGAAAGCTCAATAGGATACGAATTAATTTAGCTCAATTATTTTAAGGCCCAATTGTACTGTGCTGAAAGAATACAATACATAATTTTAAAAATAAATTTGGGAGCTTTGTTAAACCTTTTATGTTTGTTATAGACTTTCAGGGGTCGTTAGTTGTGTCTAGAAGTTTATAAAAATGTAATTAAGACTTTAAGCCACCTAAATGTTTCTGATTTGTCTGCCAGTTTCTTAAGTTTAGTTGAAGAGCTGATCAACTGACAATTTTCCACATTATAGCAATCTAACAATTATAATATAAATAACAAAAGCTTGACATCTAAACTAAAACTACATCCTTCGAAATTTAATACAGCTGAATTATAAAAATAAAAAATGGCAAAATTTGGTATATATATATATATATATATATATACGGCTTAACCAGCTCATAATACGGTCAGTTTATATAATTTAATTAAAAACGAAACTGGCCGACAAAAAAATATATTTAGCAGTAAAACAATCAAATACAACAAATAAAGTTACCCAAACTAAAGTGAAATAGGCATAAATCTCGAAAGCAATTTAAGATCGTAAAATAAAACAGCACTTTGGCCGTACCTTTATTACTCACTCCTCGGCCATTTGAGTTGAGTTTAGCGGGGCCATATAATTATCTCAGTCATGTCCATATCAAAATCCATCATCCTAGTTATTCGCATTCGTATGCACAGCTGGAGTTTTTTTTGGGCCAGGGGTCGCTCCCACAACATTTCCCAGCGGATCTTCAGATGGATGCCACAGATCTCGGGCCATTAATTGTCCAGAGTTTCCTAATATCGCACTGGTCATCTGCCTGACCAACCCAACTGCTCTCCCACTTAATGTAGTTTTTATTTAAATGCGCTGCTCGGCGTGTTTGCATGCCGAACAAAAGAGGCTGAAGACGAAGAAGTGGCAATTTTGTTGCACTCCTCGACTCGGCGGTGAATTCTTAGCAACAATTTGCTGCTCCAATTAAATTCACAGCTACGAGCCAGCTCTTCTGCTTCTGCTTCTGCTTGTGCTTGTGTCCAAGTGTCCAAGTGTCTGGTGTATGGTGTTTGTGCATTAATCATGAGGTGATTTATGGCGCCCACGCCATCGACGCATGTGCTCACGTTTTTCTCGCCGCCAGTGGCGGTGGCAGTGGCAGCGGCAACATCAGCGCGTGTGGGCAGCCCACCGCCTCCCACTGCCCGCTTACCGCCCACCACCTGCCACCACCCCCAGCCTTAACACCTGACCCCCCCTCCCTTTCCCACCATGTTCCCCCCCGCACAAGCATTGTCATGCTCCGTTAGCCGCTTCAGAAGCGTGTGGAAACTAAACGATGTGGCAAGAGTCGGCCGAATTGCTGCTGTGGGCGTAGGAGCTGCAACCGCAACAAAAAACACCAACGGTGGCCACATCCCCTTCCGAAAACTTCCTCGGCCAGGTGTCAAAAGCAAGCCATAACTAAGATGAGGAATCCACAATCCCCAATCCAAATGCGCATTGGTGCCAGGCTATCCGATGAGTTTATTAAGTCCTCACTCAGAGAAATAAACATGATACAACCTTATGAATATTTTTTAACCCACTTTTTCATTCAAAACTTAGAGAAATAAACATGAGAAAATGAGTTCCAATGAGAATTCTTCATATCGAACATTTTTATTCAACATGTTTTTAGCCTTCCAAAAAAAAGGAGTTTTATTACCACAATAAACTAAATCACACCAGTTATTTATATCGTGTTTCAAGGTCTGATAATTTTATACCTGACAATTGAAAGGTGATATGTGTTGTAAGGAGACATTTATTATTTTTCTAGTTAATTGCGATAGGATAGGATTAAAAATACAATTAAATTAAATTCGATTTAGTTTAATAAAAGAATTGTTTAAAAAATTAAGACTAAAATGGAAAGTTAAAGTACATTGATACATATTAGGATTGTGTGTATATTGTATAATTGGGTTATTTATTTTTATTAATGGGAATTAATATATAGAAATTTTTGTACTAATTGTATGTGCGTGTTCAGATGTTGTGGTATATAATATTTTGAATTAATGGAGGAAATCTATCATTGTTGTGATATATTCAATTACAAGCAAATTCGTTTTATTCTGTACGGTCTATACAGTATCACTGTTCACACGAATTGCAAATTACTATGTAATAAATATTTCTTTTACGCCAAGGTATATTATTTGTAACTATTTTTAGATAAAATAGCTAGTTACAACATTTTGTTTGGCTCTGTGCAGCAGCTGCCGGCGCATCGTTTGAGCTTGTCAGGTGAGGCACGTTGAGTGTTTTAATTACCGCCGCGCCGGTGCACTCGGTGCGATCGGTTGCATCCGCATTTAAACGCAAACGGCAAATGCAGCCACGTTTATTTGATTTACGCGTGGTCATTAGCCATTGCCAAGTGGCTAAGAAGTCTTAGCCTGTCGCGAAATGTCAAAAGGTTAATTGGATTGTGGCAGCCGTAGCCGGCGATGCCACCGAAATTGAAATTGAAACTGAAGCCGGACACAGCCAAGAATCTTGTTGAAAGGGGAACGCCAGACTGGCTGGCGGTTTTGGCTTTTACCACCACCGAACGGCCAGAAATGGTCAATGGTTAAGTAGGCTCGAATAAATCGAATAAAATCAAAGAGTATTGCAAGTAAACACGTTAAAAACGGCCGGTAAAAAGGAGACTCTTATTTAAAATAAAACAAAATAGTGATGGCCAATGGTACACATTAGTTTTTAAAACAAAACCGCAAGATCACTGTTCCTAGCAAAAAATCTTTTTAAGTTGTCCTTCTTTATTCAACTATATCTTCAAGTTTTATTTTTAGGGGTTTCTTTAAATAGAGTAACAATCATTTAATTTAAGTTAGAGCTTTAAATTTTCATAGGTTTCATTAACCTGAAAGTAAAAAATCCAAACAAATCCAACTCTTCACTGATTAAATTCTTTAAATGGTCTTAAAAAGTAAATCGCATAACGTCTAAAAAAAATCTGAAATAAACCCCAATGCGAGGGATTTTGTATCCATATTCCTGCCTTTGCCAAAATCCAATCAAGCTGCTAATGCTGGCCAAACATGCAGCCGATAAAAAGAGCCGAAAATCAGAAGATGAGTTCATTTGGGACTCCACTCCGCTCATGGAAGACAGCCTGGGAATCTGGGCCGTCGTCGTCCACCGAGGTTTTGATTGATGACAGCGCCCACCGCATCGGCAGCTTCACACATTGAGTTATCGCCGGGTCTATCTCTTCATAAAGCGATAGACTCTATTTTGGATATGCATTAAATATTAGATTGTTTTTTTTTTCGGTTTTTGGTTGCCGTCATGTCGTTCGCTTAAAAGCGCTCAGTTTGCTTAAGTGACAGCCGCCGAGTTGTTGCTGTTTTTTTTTTTTTTTTTTGAGATGATACACCTACCTGCCCACCTACCTGAGTGCCCTCTGTATGAGAACCCCCATATACCGACCGCCCGACCGCCCACAACTGGAGTCGATTAAAATTCCTCCGAAATGTTGAATGTTAATCGCTCATTGTTTGAGGAGGCGCACAAAATTAAATTGTTTGCTTTTTCGCAAATTTGACATATAACAAATGTGGCCTGTTGCCGTTGCTGTTGTTGTTGTTGTCGCCTTTCAAGCTGCCGCCGAGTGCATTTTGAAGAAGTCTGTTTGCTCTTTTAATTGCATTCTCTGGCCCCCTGATGGCAATCAAGCGAAGACAAGTTAATTAAAACCTGGCACAGCACTCTGGCCAGATTAGCATCAGTAGTTCCTAGGATCCGGACACAGAACACCAGCTGCATTTCTATATAAAAATGAGTTTTATACAAAGCCATACAAGAATTCGATTTACAAAAAAAAACTGACGGAATCTAGAAGAGTACGTTGCACCATCGAGGGGAGAGGGAGGAATGTGAGAGGAGGAAGGTGTGTTGGAATTCAATTAGAATTCACCGTTTCCGTACTGCTGAATCTTGAGCAGATCGCAGGAGAACTGGAAGAGCTGCTCACACTTGGCCGGCTTCTTGGCATCGGGATGGAAGGGACCCTTGCCGCCGTTGCTCAGATAGGTGCCGCCCTGACCCTCGACCGACGGATCGATGGCCGCGAAGACCACTGTCCGGGAGCCCCGCTCCGGGGTCTTGAAGAAGAGCTTCTTGAAGATGGGCACCGACGTGGTGGCCGAGTGCTCGAACAGGTCCGTGTCCACAATGCCCGGATGCACCACGTTGACCTGGACGTGCGACTTATCGGCATCCAGCAGCGTTTGCAGATGGCGGGTGAACAGAATCTGGGCAAGCTTCGACTGGCTATACGCGGTTCCTGGGTAATAGTGTTTCCTACGGAAAGTAATTAAGCCAATTGAGTCAAGAACCTCGGAGTAAATCGTTCAAACTAACGTTCCGTTGATGTCCTTGTAGTTAATGCGTCCAATGAGATTCACGCAGGAGCTGACATTGACGATCCTGGCATTCTTTCCCTCCCTGCCAGCCAACCTCAACTGCGGCAGGAGCAGGTGGGTGAGCAGGAAGTGTCCCAGGAAGTTGGTGGCAAAGTGCGACTCGTAGCCATCGGCGGTGAGCTTAAATGGCGCGAACATGATGCCAGCATTGTTCAGCAGCAAGTCCACCTTCGAGTACCGCTCCTTGATGAGCTGGGCAAAGGCCTTCACCGACTTGAGGTCTCCGACGTCCAGTTGCTCGCAGATGAGCTTGCCCTTGGAAGCCTTTAGGTCCACTATAGATGCTACGGCGGACTCAGCGCTTCGGGGATCACGAACACCTGCGGTAGCCACATAAATATTGCATTATATGTGATTTTAAAGATGTATTTATTTAGAGGTGTGAGATTCAGGAGGAAATCTGACTTAGTTTGATTGGTATTTGACTAAAAGGTTCTGCTTTGATGAATTTTCTATTTAACATTTAGTTAGCTTCAGCTAAACTTATTGCTGAAATCGGTACATATTTAAATATGATGCATATCTTACTTATTTAGGCAGCCTTTAAAAGATGATTGAAAATCAATTAGGATATAGCTTCTAAGCTGCGAGTTAAAATCGTAAGGAAAGGCAAGGACAAGTCCATTTGGAGTCGCCTTCTGAGGTTGAGAATTAATGTTATAAGAAAATTTAAAAGTTTGCAAATACTGCGTTACAAGGAGGTGATCAAAATTGTAATATTCTTTAAAAACCTGATTAAAATTAAAAACATTTTGTATGTTATGTACTTTGTTCTACACTATCTACACAGGTTTTTTGTTGGCGCCATCTGGTGGTAGTCGACCTAACCTGATGGTTTTAATGATTTTACATTTTACATATGAGCATTGATCAATGTAGAAATTAACAGTGTCGACTGTTAAGAAATCATACTGTTAACTGATTTAAACTGTGAGAGATTAATTAATATTTAATTATATTTAGAAAATATAAGGCCTAATTAAATTTGTAAAAAAAGAATTAGAAGAACTGTAGACCAAATGCGCTTGTCACTGGATACAATTTTGATACTTCTCTCTTTTCAGCTTAAAGTCAACGAACTCTTATCGCTCAACTTCCCCAAAATCGTGTGCGCGACTTGATTAGGTAATGAAATCAGGCGTATGGATCATGATTTCTCGATCGGATTGACAATGGTGGGAGCCACGCTGCAGATGGATCTGCATTTCGACGATCGGTGATTTGAATAACTTATGCTTTCCGAGCACGTGCACTGCAGCACGTCAAGTGTTTGTGGAATTGATAAACAGCCTGGCGACTTTTGATTAAGGCCAAAGCCAAAACAAGTTATCCGGCAGATTGGTCAACTTCGAGTTGACCATTCAACTCACCCATGACGACAGTCATGTCGCAGGCCAGCAGCTTCTCCACGATCCGCAGTCCGATGCCGCGATTGCCTCCCGTGATGACAGCAATGCGATCCGGTTGTTTATAAAGTGCTTAATGGATAATGGCGACAATTAGCGGCTATGGGATAAGCATCAGTGAATCGGGCTATCCACTTACCCACTCGATCCCGCGCCGCATACTGAGCGTCGTGGACGAGACCCACGATGCCCAGATACTGGTACCGGAACTCTGTCTTCCATTCGAACCATGACTTGGGAAACTCCTTGGTGGTTTTTGAGAAAAGGAACGCGCACACCAGCAGGCCGATGAAAAAGAGCCACAGCAAAGTGCCCAGCATGATTAGATCGCTTGTCCGCTTGTCCGGAACTCTGTAAAAAAGAATACGGGAATTGATAAGAAATCGGATTTTTGGAGAGCCAGGGCAAAGTGCGCCAGTTGATAAGGAACACCGATCCCGGTTCGTCACAGCCATTAGCCGGCAACATTATCAATATTAGCGAGTCAATTCGCCTCGAGTGCACTTTGCGACACTCTTCAACTGAGTCAGCAAGATTTACCCGATCCTCGTGTAAGCGGGTATATCTGTTGACCGTACTTGTTGTAGATTCTAGCAGCTTGCGGAAAATTGATTCGCCTCACGATTTAGCTATGAATAGTCAACCCACCACAATTATCATACCTCTATGAAACAATAATACCCTAACAATAAGGAGAACTATGATGGTTTAAATTTTAGATTAGAGATGCCATTTAGTTTAAATGTCTTTAGTTTTCAATTAAAAAAATTATTTACTTTTTCTGATTTTCCCTTTGTAAGAGTTTTTATAAATTAGATTTAAATTTGATATTTTCAAAACATTTGCTAAAATATTGTATTATATGAGACTCAGAAAGTTTACAAATAAGTTAATTTTGGATTCTGACCTTTGCATTCCTACAGTTAATAAAATATGTATATTTCTGCAACATACCATAAATAATATAGCATATTTACTCATACAAATTGAGGATCCTAAACTTAACTTTCGAGCTATTTCTATTAATAGAAAATTGTTATAGATATTTTTATAAGAATTAATACATCTTAGCGTAATCCATAGTCGCCTAACCCCATTGGCCCTCAAACCGTTTTAGTTGTTGCCTCTTCGGCTGGAATTTTCGTGTTTGCCCAGCAATTTCGAACGTTCGTTAGCCGGGCTTATAAAGCGAACACGATTGTTTGGCCACAACCCTATGCATATTTGCACTGCCAGCTACACTCTGGCTTGGAGCGGTGCACTCGAATCTTAACTTTCAGCCGGGCGGGAATACAATTAATTTAATTAGATAGATGCTACCTGACGAAAGACACTATGTCGCATTTATTAAGAAATAGCGAGAGAACGGGCTTAGGTGTGCTCGTAAAATGCAAATTAAAAACCTAAACAGCGGCGGAATGAAAGTTGAAGAACCGAGCTTCGAGTCGAAGCCAATGAACGGGGCCAAAATAGTGAATTTGGGGCCAAAACTGAAAATGACTGAGGCGCTAAACAGCAACAATGAGGGTCGGTTTCTTCTGCTTTTTGAGAGGGGAGAAGGGGAATATCGATACGGACGACCTGACATAGTACACCGGAAAAAACTGATTTTTTAAATACTCTTTTAGAATACTTACTTTCAAATCAAAGTAAACAATAATGAAATGGAAAATAGTAAAAGATGTGAATCTAATAAATATATTGCTTAGTTTCTGTTGCGTCATTAAAAATGTATTTAATCAGAATGTATTTATAATATATCAAAACGATAACGTTAGTTAAAAAACAATTTAATTATGTTTTACAAATTTACGTTAAATAGAACTGGTGAAAAATGTAAATACAATTTCATTAAACCTTACATCATTACATTTTACGTTTTCATTTAATACAACCCAATAGGACTTACTTAATAAATATATATTAATCAATACATTTTTCTGAAAAGCAAGCTTTTTAACTACGATTCTTCCCTCTTAGATTTAAACTGATACTGAAATTTTCAATTACGTTTTCTTCTTGTCATTACAACTTATCAATTTATCTCTGTGTACTTATGACTTTACGAACGTGGTGTCAAGAGTTTCGACTTCCGTCAACAAAAAGCAAAAGCTTAGCAGTTTTATTGTTTTTGTGGTTGTTGTTGCTGGTATTGTTGTTGTTGCTGCTTTCGTCGTTGTTAATTTGGCTGCATATGGTTAACTTTCTTTTTCTATTGTTGTTGCTGGCGGTGCCCTTGCAAACGTTTTCATTTTTTACCTTCAATTCGGTTGGCGCTGGCGAAACTGCACTTGTGCTTTTATTTTTATGCTAATAACTGACACCCTTTTTTATTTCAAATAAAGGGTTAATTGGTTTTCTATCACGTTTTCGAAAATCAGTGGGAAGAGTTCGAAACCGGTTTGTTCAGCGGGCCCTTGTTGCCACAACCGCTGCGCGAGAAATTCAAAAGCGAACTAAACGTTAGTTTTAATTGCGCGCCTTTCCGCCAAGAACTTGATCCACGACGTTTGTTGTTGTTTTGTTTGCTTATAGACTGTTGGCCAACAGGTGAATTTCACCTATTCGCCGGCTGATCGAGCGGAAAAACAGCTGATGTTGGTCCTCGATTTGGTTAAACGACAAACGGGTCAAGTGGGCGGGGTGTAGTTACCTGTGTGTGCACCCACAAAAACGCTGATTTGAAACTATTTAATTGAAAAAATTGCAGACGAGCCGAAAAAGTCGACGGACTAGGGATGCACCGATGTTTGCAGCTTATCTTCACAATCGATTGTTGGCGGCGACTATCGATATCAATTAGTACTCTAATTTTATTTAATGTTTATTAAAAAAATATTTTAGTTTTTAAAAAACGTTAAAAGTAATGTATTCGCTATAATTATAAATATTGCAACTACTATATTAAAAAACTATTATTTAGTGTGACAGCTGGCTTAAAAAACGTAAAATACTAAACTGTAGTTAACTGTAGTTATGTTATGTTATTTAAGTTAAGCCACTGTTACGGCTACTTATCGATAACAAGGCTATTTTAAATCGAAATTCAAATTTAAATATGTTGAAAAAGCTTAATTTTGTTATAATTATTTTCCGCTGGTATTATGAATTATTAACAGTGGTTCTTTTAATACTCCAAGGTCCAAGGTCCGTTTAAACTTATTAACAATTCCCTTTAAATAACAACCCAACCTCTAAATAAAAAAACATCTTCCTTTTGCTAGCTGATTTATTTATTTAAACGAAATCGTACAGTGCATTTAAGTGTTAAACGGAAATATGTTCATACAGCAATTACAATTTATATTTTGCCTTGATACCAGTTATTAACTAATTTTGCCTTTAGATAGTATATACTTAGTTGGAAATAAACAAAGGCTAAGCGCAAATTGAAATCTAAGCTTTTGCGCTTATCTGGCTTTGATTAAATTGCGTTTCGCTTTCGGTTAAATCAATCAATTGGGATTACCATATAGAGTGTGAATTTTAGTGTGTATAGGTGAATACATATTTTGAAGTAAATACTAGACTAAATTGAAATATATCCTTGAATCGTGTGTGTGTGTGTGTGTGTGTGCTGGTGTGTAAGAGGTGCCTAGGTGCTACTAAAAAGTATAAAATATTACTGTGGAAGGGACAAAGTATTTTTAAAAGGGTTCGGAACTCTAAGTTGCAGCTGCGTTGTCAGTGTCTTTTATCGCCATCTTTTTGTCCATCTTCGTTTCGGTTTCCGATTCCGTTTCCGGTTCCGGTTCGGTAGCAGCGACATCCTTAGGCTCCTTTAACTGTCAATTCTCCACGGACATGTTGCCGATGTCGTCATTGATGCCCAGGACTTGGCCGATGAAGTTCTGGTCGGTGACCACCTCGGCCAGGGATTTGCACAATTCCGTAAGTTCCTGCAGCGGCATCTTTAGCTGCGGCGCCAGTCGGCTGAGATGTTGACCCACGTAGTCCGGCAGCTGGAGGGGATTAGCAAACTGGGTTAGTTAACTCATTTTCACTGGATTTGCCCCATTGCTCACCTTTGCCTTGCCCACTTTGAAGGCGCTAAACATCAACTTCGTCCGCACGCGCTGCTCATTGGGCCCGTCGTAGAAGATGGTCAGATAGGCCTCCTGGCAATTGGCCACCAGCGGGAAGTAGATGCCCGCATACACCTGACCCTTGGCATCGCGCGACAACAGCGACCGGAAGTTGTACACCAGATTGCGGCGCACGGTCACATCGATGGCCGTGATGTACTCCTGGGCCACGTAGATCAGCGAGGTCTTGTAGCTGGTGTCCTCGCCGCGGATCTCGCGCTCCTTCCACTCCACGAACTTGCCGCTCTGCTGGCTGTACGCATAGCAGTAGTCCCGCTGCAGGTGCGGCTCCTTGGATTGGGTGAACCAGCCTGGAAGACCCGCAAACATAAGTACCCATTTCAAAATGAGGTAGGTTAATCAAACTCACCCGTGTGTGGATAGCTCTGGTCCTGCATCACAGTCACGGCTCGACTGACATGGTAGCCCGGATCCAGGATCATCACACCACGTCGCTCGCCAATGGCAATGCGCATGGCCACCATCACGTGCTCCTTCTCCACGCCCGCGTCCACCGAATTGAGACCGCACTCCTCGTCCAGCTGCACATAGTCCGGGCAGTCCATCACCTGCTCCTCGCAGGACACCACATACAGGTACTTGGCCAGCACCGGAAACAGTCGCACCATCCTGGCCATGATCTCGAAGGCCAGCGACACGCACATGTGGTGCCGCCTGTTGATGGGCACATCGTAGAACTGGAAAAAGCTGCGCAGGTCAGAGCGTCGGGTGCGCTTGAAACTGCGATAGAAGTCGACGAACAAGTTGACCGTGTTGTAGTGCGTCTCCTCCAGCATCCGCTGCAGCGTGGTCTCCACGATCCCGTTCAGCTCCTCGTACTGCCAGACGTTGTCGAAGCAAAGGGTGCCCTTGCCCGCCTCGGAGCTGGCCCAGTCGGGCAGTGGCAGCGGATGGCCCAGGGGCCACACTCCGTTCACCTGGTTGAAGGCCTCCAGATCGTAGCCATCGCCCACGACAAACTCCTCATGGGTGTGGGTGTGGGTATGGGCACTGGCGATGCCTGACTGCTGTTTGGCCAGCAGCTGCCTGATGTCGGAGTAGCGCTCCGATTGATCCACCGATGTCAGGTCGGTCGGAGGCACCAGCTCCAGTTCGTCCTCCTCCAGGTCTTCCGAGTCCTCCTCCTCCTCCTCCTCGCTGGAGGTGGAGGCTGTGCGACGGATGGCGCCAGTACCATGTCCAGATGCGTGCTCAGTTGCTTCTGCGGATTGTGTCGTAGTCAATCCCAGTCCCATTCCGCGCACCGCATCCGCCAGCTGCTGATCCGCCGGGAGCAACGGATCGTGGGCAGCGGCGGCGGCGACAGCGGCCCCCTCCAGTGCTGGAGGTGGAGCCGCTCCCCCATCCCGTCGGTGGCTGGTGGCAGCGGCGAGTCAACTCGGCCACTCGGAGCCCCAGCGGCCCACGGTGGGCACATAGCCACTTTCGCAGTCATTGAGCGTGGCGTCTAGTTGAATGTTGGCGAACTGTTGGCTTGAATGCAGCGGTGGTGGGGCAGCTTGGCCAGCCTGGGTGGCTCCTACTCCCGCACTGATCAGACTAATCCGGCCCTGCGCTCGCTTGAACAGGAGGTCCGGCTCGTCTCCAAGTTTCGTCGTTGGTTTAGACTGATCTGTTGTCGGAATAGATCAAAAAGGAAAAGTATTCATTAGAAAGGGTTTTTTTTTGGTCTGTACTCAACCTATTTTTACCCTGATTCCGATTCCGCTACTATAGATATATTAATGGAAACTACAAAATTACTTTTTTGAACAGTTTTTCAAAACAATTATGGAATACTTTACAATACAATTTAAAAGAAGTATATACGTCATTCCTTCAGTATCGCAATCTTTTAATTTCATTTCTGTATCGCATTACTTTTGTTTTCGCAATGTAACTTTAAAATTATTTCTTTTTTACTAAAGGAATATATTACATTTGTTTAACTTTCGCTAATTTTGGTAGGAAAAAAGCTACTTTATATGGTGTACGGCATACTACACATTGTACGCCTTGAATATTTGACTAAAATCTTATTTGAACAAATAAAAAACAAAAAATTTCATGCCATTTTGCCGCGTTAAGTTTTAACATTGATTCAATTATATATACCAATTTGAAATAGATGACCCTCAGTTTTAAAATCTTGAGCTCAAGATTATACATTTTTCATGTCGGACCCTTGACCTACCCCCTTGTTGATCTTGATCCCTTTACTGATTAGGGAAAATTCCCTTCGTAATTGGCCCCGAACTCAGTCCAGCAGGTAAGTGTGCCCTTCTCAAAGTCAAATGACCTGATAATCACCGCCAGGTACTAGATCACGTATCACCCATCTGGCTGGCTAGTCTCTAGATTTTCGAGCAGTGTGTTGCCAGGGAGGCCAATCATCTGGCAGTACAGTTGAACGTCTGGCGGCGGGCAATAAACAAGTGGCATACGAAAGTGCTTGTTATCACCGCAAGGCAGGAAATGGGCGGGCACTTCTAAAATGGGTCTCAAGTGCTGATTGCCAACGTTCGTTAGTTGCAGCCAATAAAACACAATAAACAGAAACAATGTTTGTGTCGAAAAGGGGGTCCACGTGCCCGGGGAATATGGAGAGTATGGAGAATGGAGGTCAGGAGGCACAGCATGTGACTTTATGCGAAATCTCGACTAGCGTCATTCGCTTATCTTGTTGTCGTTTTGGACGTATGATTTTGATTAGACATTTTCTGCGCCGCGAAATTGCTTTGTTTGTAATGTGACTCAGTAGAGCACAAAGCTCTGGCTTCATTAACATATGTACATATGTGCCACATTCAAAAAATATTCGCAGGCACGCGCAATTGTCGCTAATTACACGTGAATCACCGGATGCGAGAGTGAGTTGACTACAAAGAGTAGACCATCACCATCTATGTATGAAGTTTATTTTCCCCAACCGTACAATGTGTTCGTAAACAGCATTTTGTTTATGTTATGATCTAGGATGAGGTGATTTCGTTCCCCATCATTTCTGAGTAATCTTCTTTGTTTTGAGTCAGACAATATCATCTTTCGTTTTTACAGAGTGCTTTTATTTCTGATTAAATTGAAAAAATATTCCTATTTTTACTTTGATTTGAAATTAACAAGGATTTTGGTCATAAATTGTTAGATTTCTCTGTCCCAAAATAAAAGTATTCAAATTACCTTAATGCTATACGAAAATTGCATGATATCTCTAGTCTTTTTTAGATTGCTCTCTAAATATAAACTATTCTTTCTATTCTATTCTATTCCCATAACTGTTTCTAAGTTCCGAGCAATCTGTTGTAATTTCCCAACGATTTATATATACATATAAATTACCCCTGATTGATTTCATTACTTACCCATACAATGGCCTAAGCCCAATAAACGAAATTGTTGTTTTCCTGATTAAGATCTCGGTTTTGGTTCGCTTTTTTCACACACAACTTGGTATTCTGGCGTTTTCTTCTTACCACTTGAAGGTCTGGCTTAATTTGGATTCGATTCGGTTGTTAGGCTGCAACAGTTGCTTTTCAACTGCCGATGTTGTTTCAATGTTTTTCTGGACGCGCGTGCGTGGAAAACCGAACGGAAGGAAAATAAAATAAGGGGGAATGCGAACTAAAAGCAAACAACTTGTTGTTTGCGGTTTTTGCCGTGACTTTGTCTTTGTTTTGGTTTTTGTTTGGGTTTTTTGTTTCAGATGTTTTGGCTTATACCTTATTTGTTGGTATTTAGCGGTCGCCTTTGCCTGTTCAATGCAGGTCCGAGTTTTTTAACGATATTGGCGAGTTAATCGACATCGAAGAGGATTTTCTTCGACACTGGGCAGAGATACTAGATGGTGCTTTTCTATATTATGCACTTGCACTCGCACTTGGCTATTTTCGAGGAATTTCCCTTTTTGCTGTTCGAGGTCCGTTGACGACGAGAGACGCGTAGCGACTGATGAAAATCGAGTGCGGTCCGCTGCTATATAAACGATCGGGTCGGTGAATCTATGTGCAAGTCGGCGCTCTGTCGACTGTGACGGCGACTGCGACTGCGACGGCGGCAGCGACTGACACAGTTTCTACGGTTCGGTTTTTGGCTTTGTTTTATTCGCGCGAACTCGAAAATATTTCAAATTATGACGCAAAAAAAGCTTGAAAAATTCCACAAAAAGATAAGGGTGAGCTCGATTTTTGTTTTGCTCCCTCGATTCGTAAGTAAACAAATTGGGTGTTATTGTTTTGGTCGACTGATGTTGGGATAGGAAAGCTGTAACGAAAGGAGGAAAAGTCTGAGTATAAGTTTCGCCTGGGGTCGGAAATAATAATCAAATGAAAAATATATTATATTTGGGTCTAGTGTAAACACGATAAACATTTAGTCACGCAATTTGTTTATTTGTTTACTTCGAATTTAGTTGCTAAGTCTTATCGCACTGAGTCAACGGTTGTTTGGATCTATTTATATGGTTAGTGGTCCCCCCCGATATGGACTACCTGGTATTTTATAACCGGCGGAGTGGAAACTTTGTCCCGGGAGTTTGTTTTTCCTGCCTATGCCCTTTATTCTATCATACGGCTCAATGCACTCACCGGATTCTCACATAGGTACTTTATGAATATGGGGACACTATCATATAAGGCAGCCACTCGAAATGCCAACTGGTGGCCAGCAACCAAGGTCACTTAATGGGAATAACGGTTGGGTAAAGGGCGCCCTGCCAACGCCTGCCAACTACGTATACGTAATATTGCAATAAACAAAACGGTTATGCGGCCCAGGACTTAATAAGTGTCACAAACTAATTGGCATCCAAAGGGCCTTGCCTGGGCACTTGTTTTCGAAAACAAAGGAATTTATTACAGTGGGACTTCTATAAGCCTTATGCGAGTTCAAATAAATGTACCTAACTAGTGGTGTTAACTATTTAGATAACTGAAGCTTAGAAATAATAGCTATTTGATTAGTTATGTTGTTGTTTCGTACTAAAAAATCTGACATTATACACAATATTAAGTTTCTCGAATTTGCCAAACATCTTAGTGAAACAATATTCTTTATATAATGTCAAATGGTTATATTCACTAGCTCGACCATGTACTGTTATCACATTTTCAGGCCTAGGGCGTCTTTGGCGCAACTTTTGTGATCCGATTTTTGTCGAGGCCCCAGCACACGGAACAATGCCAAAGCTGTGACGTTTTTTTTTTTTTTTGTTGGTTCTTGTTTACAGATTGTGCCAACCAGGCCGACTGCCACGCCCCCTCCGCCCGCTGCATCATGCACCTCCGCCGCCTTGGTGGGCCGTTTTATATAGCCGCCATATAGTCGAGATCTGTTTATCTGCGCCGTAATGAAATTCTTGTTTTGTTTGCCGAGATTTAGACAAACATTTTTTGATGGTGCAATTTGAATTAAGTATGTATGTAAATATGTAAATATATGCACATGCATATTGCACTAGCCAAGGTCATTCAGTGAGTACGAAACTAGAAAAACTGCAATTGAATACTAGAACTATATACTCTAAATAAAACCACAAAAGTGTCTGCTTTTAAAGATTAAAACTTATCTCAGTCAACATTTAGGTTTAGAGTTCTAATAAACTCATGAAAGTTATAAAGATTGCTAGAAAATTCGACGGAATAGATTATTTTTGTTTTGGAATATGTACATACATATATTTTTATTTGCGATATGAAAAATTATGGCCTCTTGTTATCGAGGTTTTAGAGCTTCTTATTTGCCTTATCATTTTGTATGTTGGTATTAAATTTTGTTTTTATTTTGGTCAGCAGTTTACCAAACACATATATGACCGTTTTTTTTAGTAAAAAAAAAAATAAAAAGAGTCCTAAATCACGAATAATATAATGCTCTTTATAGCCATATAAATTTTGAAGAGATTATGGCTTGGTTTTTAACAAATGCATTTTAAATGAAAACATAAGTAAACACGGTGGCAAAACAGGAACATGAAATCGACTCAGAGGGCATGCTTCACATAAACTACTAACTTAATTCATATTTGTTAATTAGTTAATGAATTCGCTGCGCAAAAGAAGCTCAGGGCTGTGTCAGCCGACGATTTACGAGGCAAGCAAATACCAATTGGCAGTAAATGGTTTTGAATTGAATGAGTTTCAGCGGAGCGGAAGGCAAAGTTCGGAGGTCAAGCTAACAGCCTTATTGGCTTAGTCTCAGGCTTTCTCCATTGACGTCACTGGAGAAATGTTAGCAATATGCTGGCGAAACTAGTTCAATGTCGCTGGCCGGCTCTGACGTCACGGTTGGGACATTGGGAAGACATTGCTCATCCGCCATGTCGGCCCAGCCGGCCGGTATTTGGAACGGGAAAAATGGGGTGGCACCACCCAACCACCCAACCACCCAAGGCCTTCCAGAAACTGCCTTGCGCCACGTGTCGCGTGTCTGGCGTGCGTATTTGTAAACAATTGCACTCGCCTGTTGGCTGTATTGGTGAGCGAGGCTTTGTCCTTTTTACTATCAAAACAACAGGAGGCCAAGGCGCAGGCGTTGTGGAAAGCTGTGGAAGTTCCACATGGAACAGCGACTGGAATCCGAGAAAGGTGGAACAAAAACAAAGTGCAATGCCTATAGACAGTGAAGGGCTTTTCAATGTGAAACCCATCAATTCCTATTTTTTTCATATTAATTTTAGTTACAAAATAAAAATACTCACATAAAAACTGGAACTGGAAAACTAGTTGAAAATCAAATATTTGTTAATCATTTTATGTAACTTTCAATATTTAATTTTTTATTTAGTTTTTAAGCATTTTAATATTTTTTACTTTTACTAGACGTACAAGTGATTTTTAAGTTGTTTGTAACGCCGTTTAGTTGTTTGTAAAAGTTATGCTTTTATAGGAACAGGTTTATATTTTGAGCAAAAACATGTAGAAAGTAAAATGAAAAATTTTCAAAATTATTTTCTTGATCAGCTTCATTTATCAGTACAAATCGAAAATATGTTGTTCAGGGCCCTGGACTATATTTTTACTATTTTCCGAAGCCAGCTGTTAACTGAACCCACTATTTCGGTCCACCACTGTGATGCCTTGCTCTTGCGCACTTTTATTGACCATTTCTTTGTTGTCTGCCGTTGGTGTTGGTTACCGCAGGCGAATTGGTTGTTGGCAGGGGCTTAAACTGCATTGGGGAACACGGCCAAGTGAAAGGCCAAATGGCAAAATCGATAAAGGGAGTTGGGAACTTATGGGCTTATTACCTTATTTCATTAGACTCGCAGGACGGCATACACAAAATCAAACGCCGCCTGCCTGAAGGAAGTAAATGAGATAGGTGCAGGGGCCCTTGGACACCTCTTACAGCTTTTTACTCCAGTTGTAGGAACCGTTGTAGAAAAATAAAATCAATATTATCATTTTGGTGTGCATATTGAGGACAGTCATATCGCAATTGCTTTCGATCTAGCACTATTCTGGTCGGTATTAGGGCTTAAACTTGATAAGTTGCTCCCGATAAACGATTAGTTTTTATGCCTTTTGCGTTTGAGTGTCATTTAAGTAAGAGTACAAAACTCGCGAAGTCTTATTATAACACTGAACTTTAATGGAGTTTCAAGAACTCTCAGACCACTGAAATATATCAGTTTTTTCTTTATTTTTATTATAATTAATTAATTCTTTTAATTTGTCCTTATTTAGCGAGGATGTGCTGAACAGTTGAACGTGGAAATCTAGACTGCGGCCAGGAACTGAATCATCAGCGCTCTTCCACTTTCCAGCCCAATTTCCAATGACCTTCCAATACCCCTTTCCCGTTTCGACGTGGCAGTTGTCCTTTTTTTAGTAGACAAAATTAATTCCTTTAGATTATTATATCAAGAAACATTTGTTTTCTCCCCAATTAAATTGTTAATTTTTGAATTATTTAATATTCATTCATTATGTTCTCCACTATGAAATGAATTAGGGAACTCCGTAGTCAATGTACAGCACTACTTAAATACATTTAATAAACATGTTATATTTGAGACCCAATAAAAGTAAATATAGGAAAAGCAAATTAATTAGCATGAAATAGAACTTTTCCAAATTATTTAGAAGTTTCTGTGCGAGTATATGCCAGCTTAAATATACGAAACTAGACAAATTTACGGGATTAACCGAAAAAAATAAATGGCTTATATCTATTCACCAAGATAATGTTTTAAAAATACAAAATAATGAATCAATATTTTTTTAAATAAAAAAAGAATCCGAAAAACCAGAATAATTTGTCATTTATTTGACTGAAAAATATTATATATAGAATTAAACAAACATGAACTGGGCGATATTTCCAGCAGGATGTCGTGTTGATGAAAACAATGTCAATGCGGACTCGGAGCCACAGCGCAGTAGCACTTCCACTAATGGCAATGGTAATCCTGACGAGCGTTGGACAAGCGACCGGTCGAACCGGCCGTTACGCAATTAATCGGTCCCCGGATGTGGATGATCCATGGATGAGGCGACACTTCACCAGCGAAAGAAGGGACCAGACTGATTTGCGGGAACCGATGCCGCCGGAACCACGTCATTTCAATGATCCAGATATACTTTTTCAACGGCTGGACGACATGGAACAGAAGCAGATAGGGACTGAGCCGGCAAGTCCTGACAAAATGGCACCTCCTAGCCAGGACGAGAACGTGGACCTCCTAATTGGTCACAAACCTAATTCCGCCCAGCATCTCAGAGTCAATTTTCCCAAGTTTCCCATCGATGCGAGCGACCAGGAACTGGGCGACGGACTCAGTCCGGAGAGCGAAGAACCCTTCGAGTCCCCAGGGACTCCAGACCGCATGAACTTCAATGAGGATCCTCTAGAGCACTCAAAGGAGGTCAATCGGGAGATTAAGAGAATGTTGGATATTTACAGGGCCAAGGAGCGTGAAGGACAACCGGCCATGGGCAAGGCCAATCTGCTGGCCAAGGTCATCAGCTGCAAGATGGACAAGCCCTATGCAGAGCTTAAGTCCCAGACTTATCCGCCCAACAGAAGTAGCCTGACTTCGACCACAAAAAGGACTACAACCAGCACCACACCACGTAGTACCACCCCTTTCTACCTGCCGGAACCCTCGCCCGAAGATCGTCCTGTCGAGCCCCAGCATTCACCTCCATCCAGTCCTAATCCTTGCGGAGATCCTTTAAGGACTAAACCCATGAAACCGGGAGCTGCCAAAATGTTAGTAGATATTATTTTGGAAACCAAGCTGCATGCTCTTTCAGTGCTGAAGAACCTCGACTATTTGGAGATGGAGCTGCTGAGTCAGTCGACTGAGTTAGATGAGTGTGGGGAGGAGGAGGATTTGGAGTCGGAGGAGGATTTGGAGTCGGAGGAGAATTCGGAGTCGGGAGAGATATTGGAGTCGGGGGAGGGCTTGGAGTCGGAGGAGGATTTGGAGTCGGAGGAGGATTTGGAGACGGAGAACCGGGTTACCGAGAGACCAGGGCCAACGAAAGAACCCTTTAAGCGATTTCAGAAGCCACCGATTCCCAATTCGCATGTCTTCTACTTCGGAATACGACCGGCGAGCCACAGCGAAAGTCTCTACGATTTGGCCTTGGCCAAGGAGGAGGAGCTGATGCTGGAGGAACGGGTTTGGGAGGAGTACCAGCACCAGCTTAGGCAACGGAGGCCCTTGAAGCCCAAGAGATTTGACGCTGCTCCGGAGGCAGCCGCTCGATTGGAGCTCATGCAAGAGCCTCGGAAGCCACTGGAGTCGGAGTCCATAGAGTCCCTGGATCCCTTCGATCCAGAAGACCCCGCCGAGGACACCCGCATAAACTTGCAGGCACTGAGTGTGGTGGTGAAGCCCATGCCCCGAAAGGAGTCCGCTTATCCTGCCGCCCACGGGAATCAACCACATATGCCCCAGGCCGAAATGAAAGCCATTCGAGTGGAGACCACTTTAAATGACGAGCTGCAGCCAAGCAAAAGACTTCGAAGTGGAAAAAGGAAAAAGAAAAAACACAAGTTTTATGCTCAGGAAAAGCAGCCAACACATGACAGGTATCCCCCTGGCATTGCTGGCGTCTTCTATTGAGTCACTTGTATACAGTTTATTAACGTTTACTTGAAATATTTTGTCTAACACAATTATATATTTTTGAATAAAAAAAATCATTTAAATTTTGCCGCCCTTTTGAAAATACCAAACCATAGCTTTTGGTATTTGCCTGCCAACAGTGGGGTTTTTTGACATAAAGGCTACGGTCACATCACAGCGCGCTTTAATATCAGAATTGTCAAAATAAATATTCACTTTTCGATCTACGCACTTTTAATTTGTGTCAGGTTATTTGTTAAATTGTTGATACTTAAGTATATAAAGTGAAGAAAAAGTCATAGAGTGAAAAGATACAAAACGGAGAAGTATAAAAAGCAACCAAAAATCGCTTTTGGCGCCATACTGCATTTTCCATTTCACATGAAGTCTCCTTTATGCAGATTACAGTGCATATCTAATTGAGATTTTACTTTCAATAACTTCTTATTTTGGTAAGTACTAAAAATTGGGAACGAAAAGTGGGTATAGATTTCATTAAAAATCTTAAGTGAAAGTAACGGCACTATGTCCATATGCGCAGCAGCAAAATGCGCTTCAAAAGAAGGGAAACTAATATGTGGAACTTCTCAAATTTCCTTAAGATCAATTTCGGCATTAATACAGAAAATTTGACGCGTCGCCAATTTGTTTGATCGTTTCTGATTCTGCGCCGCCGCTGTCCCCTTTCTCTCTCTATGTCTTTGTCCCTCTTTTTTCCTTATCCGTCTTATCTACGCACCTCCGTTCTTGTGCTTGCCAATTTTGCACACGGAAAAAAAAATTTAGTTTCTTGAGGGAAGTCCTCGATTTGCAGTTTGATATACATTTTACTCATTTTAATCATATTTGCTCAGTTTATTGCAGCTCGAATATTTAAAGTCTCAAAATTAGTTTTTTTTTTAAACCTATATTTTTTCAAAAATAAAAAAATTTATAAAGCTCTTAGTTAAATTAATGGGTTACATATTTCCCATCTAATTTTGGTAACAGTCAGTCAGTTTTTGACAGTCTCATATCATTTGACGAAAAAGTGCAAAAAATTTTATTTTTTTCTCTGCATGCTTGATTGTTGCTCATTTTGGGGTGGCGGTGGGCGCACGCATTCCACACCACTTGAATCATGCTAAACGGATTAATATTTATTTGTTCATTTTTTTTCAGAACTGTTAACTGTTAACAGCAATGGACAAGGAGGAGGTCCTGAAGCATGTGGGCAAGGTGGTCAGGGCCCTGATCACTTCCGCAAAACCGCCGGTCGAATTGAAGTCCATCTGCAGAGATTACGTGGCCGTTGAGGGCGAACAGATACCCTTTCGGAAATTGGGTTACATGAACCCCCAACAAATGCTCCAGGATACTCAGGAGTTTAACTTTCAGAGTTACGGCAGTGAGGTAAATGACATGTAAATGACCCAACCAATTGTCACGCCTTTCGATTTCATAGTTTATTTTAATTGTTGTCAAGATTCTTGGCGAATTACTGCATATCGCAAGTGTCGGAGAGAGCCGCTCTCTGCCACCCACTTCGGTCGCTTTCTTTCGCCCACTTTGCCCGCTCTCCCAGCCCAGCTTGCTCTCTTTCTCTCACGTGCGCAGGTTTTGTGTGGCTCTTTGTCAGTGCTGGCCAATAAACTTGGAAATATAGCTACACATTTAATTTAAGGGAGGTTCTGTTTTGCTTATTAAGCCCACCTAATGTTTTTTTTAACGTTGAATAGTTATTTTTAGTGCTTTTAGTGAATGTTGCTCCTACCTATCTTATGTAATATGGCTTTAATTTTCGGTATAAAAATAAAAGGTTTTTTTTATCAGTTCTCCGAAGCTAAGACACGAAATGTTCTTCAATCTTCTACGTCTGGAAAAAGGCCAAGTGCTCATCACCGATGGCGGACGAGCTTTTGACGAGCGGCGGTGGCCGCTTTCAGTTCGATTCTCTGGCTGAACGCGTGCGGTGAGCCGCTGCTGCTGCGCCGCCTCCTTCCCGCTCCGCTCCGACGTTCCGCCCGCTCTCTCTGCCAAAGGGGCAACGTGTCAACGGCGCCTTCTTCTTGTCATCTCCGCCGTGAAAAGTGTAAACAATGGATCTTACTTAGTCTAGTTTAGTGTTCCTCTTAGTACATGCATATGTACATACATATATTGAAACGCCTTTCCCTGAGCTTTGTTTTTCTCGTTTCGCGATTCGTGCTGATTAAGCGCTTTGCTTTAATAAATGCAGCCAAAAACAAAAGTGTACATATAACGCGAAAATCGAAACGGCCAGCAATTTAAACTTGCCTGTGTGTGCGTGATTGCATGGTGAAAGTGAACGAACGTTGGCTATCGTATGTTTTTCTCTCTAAATGCCAGTCCATCTGGCCATTACACTTGAACTTTTTGCATTATTCTTGTTTAGTTGTCTGTTTCCTCACCTGTGGGCGAAAGTGGGTGTTTTGGGCGGGTTCTTCCGGCCAACGCAATTGCATTGTTGCCAAATCAATAATCAGACAGCCCACAGATGCAGCACGAAGCGAGCTGATGATATTCATTTATTTACGCCTAGCTTCAATTATGTACTCTGTGTATCAGCATTTCCGAGCTCTCGCTCTGCACCATTATCACGTCTTGGTCTTGGGTTTCAGAGCCCTGCCCATATCCAGACCCCACTGTTCACCACTTGGAGCTGCGACCCTATTAAGATGATTGCAGCATTGAAACAAATGAATCATATACCGAATTTAAACATCAAACCACTCGGATTTCCAAACACAATTCCGCAGCACTTCAACGGGCTTGGCTGTAAAGTAGCTGGCTCTGCAGTTTTATGGGGCATATTTGATTGCCCGAACTCAAGAGCTGTACAAGCGGAGCCACTTTCCCTTCCCAGAAGTTGCCGCAAATAGATACAATCGAGAATAAATATGAATATTTTACATTCTATGTATATATACTATATGCCTGGGTATCAGAACCTCAACAGTATTTAAAGTATTAACCATTGAGGTTTCTAAAACAAATAGCCTTTTTTATACCTTTTGAAAATCGGTTTTCAACAAAAGTGCCAAATAAAGAATAACTTTTAAGATTCCTTGTTTAAAAATTAAGAAACAAAACACGTTTTTATAGTCATAAAACTTAATAATTTATGTATCCTATCCCTAACAGATCATCATCACCGCTAAATACAACGCCAAAACAGAGCATATTGCGTCTATGGTGCGCAACCAAAAGTCTAGCAAGTCCAGGTCAATATCGAAACCAACGCCAGCTGCCCAAAGAGCAAACAGTCAGAAGGTCAACTACTCCTCCAACTCCCACAATAACAAGCAGTTCCAGAGCAACTACCAGCATCAGCAGCAGCGATCTTACCAACAGCAGCAGTATTGGCGTCCACCACCAACGCAAGTGTACCTGCAACCAGCCCCACAGCAGTTTCATATACCGTCGCAAGTGCATGATCGCCGGCACCTGCAGCAAGAGCAGCAGCAAGAGCAGCAGAAAGAGCAGCAGCGCAGGCTCCAGGAACAAGAGCTGCTGACAAGGGCAAAGCGGGAACAAGATCTAAGGGAACAAGAGCTGGGCGCGAGGCTCAAGCGAGACGAAGAACTGAGGGTCTGCATTGAACAAGAGCTAAAGTCCAAGCTTAGCACGGAACTGCAGGCCAGGCTCAAAAAGGAGCAAGCCAGGTTTGAAGAAGAGTTTCAGGCGCGGCTTAAAGAACAGCTGCAGTTGTTTAAGAAACAGCAAGACCACGAGCTTCAAAAGCGAACGGAAGATTTAGAAAATCAGAAGAAGGCTTACCAGCGACAAAAACAGGAGGAGGAACTTAAGCAGTTAAAAATCAAGGAACAGCAGCGCAGGGAACAGGAGCGCAAGGAACAGGAGCGCAAGAAGCAGGAGAACAAGGAACAGGAGCGCATAGATAACGAGAAGCGGGAACGGTGCGAACGGAACGCTAGGAAGACACTACTGGGTTGTGATCAGCCTGTGAATATGCGATCTGTAAAGTTGGACCACGAGAAGATCGTCTTAACGATTGCAAACGACAAGGCGCCCGCCATGAATGGTCACGGCCAGAACCATGTCAGGTCCAACGGACAAGGCAAATACAACGGTAGCAAGCCGCCATTGCGTGCTATCCTGGGCCATAGTGCTCCGCAGCGTCATCAGGCTCCAAGCAGCGTTTTTAATACACCTGAATCTAGCTACAACCGGCCGTTCCATCCGCGTGTGCTCCACCCCGGAATGTCGCGCTCCACGGGCAGCTCTGTAAACCATAGACTGAAGGTGAAGTCGCAATCGGATGCTCCAGCGCCAGCAGGAGCGCCCATCACTCCGCCCGCTTCGCCGGAGAACGCACAAATAAAGTCGGCTGGCAAACCCTCGCCCAAGGATGATGTGCTAAGGGTGCAGGACACCCAGGTCACAGCGGGCAAATCCAAAACCATTGCAAAACCGAAGGTTCCGCTCAAAATAGATGCTTCCTTCGATGCCGTCTCTTCGCTGAACCTGTATTGCGAGGCAAATGGCTATGAGAAACCATCGTATAACATATTCAACAAGCCGCCGCGCCTGCACTGTTCGGTGCGGATCGATGGCGATGTGTACAGCAGCTATCCGGAGGAGTTCGCTGCTGAAGAGGCGGCCTACCAGCGCACAGCCCAGATCGCCATCCAGCGTATCCAGCACGCCGAGTCGCACCAACAGCTCTCCGTTTGCACTCTAAGCAATGAGGAGTTCATCGACGGATTGTACAAGGAGTTGCTAAAGTACCCGCACGGCATATTGGGCCACAAACTGGAGGATTGGTATGGCAGCACCTTCCGCCAGCACCTGCCCAGCCATTGGTACGACCTGATCATTGAGTCGAACAAAATTCGCGTTGAGCACGGCATTGACCCGAGGATCATACTGTTCGCCAACGATCCGGGCATTCCAGAACCGATTCGGATCAGCACGACCAGCATGTTGCCGCAACTGAAGCTGCCATGGCAGGCAAGCGAGGGTGGAACGCACGACTTGAACATGTTCATCAGCCACTGCGACTCCACCAAGCGGGTGTGGGCTCGGCTGATCGACCAGATAGCCAACTTTGAGGAGCTGACAAAGCACATGGGTCGACAAATGGCGGTGCCGCTGTTCCGCCAGAAGGTCGCCAAACCGTACGTTAACGAAATCTATCTGGTGGAGCTGCCCGATGGCTGGAACCGTGTACGGGTGATCTCCGTTAATGAGGAGCAACGTTCGTGCAGCTGCCACTTTGTTGACTTTGGCGACGTGGCGCTGTTCGAGAGTGAGGAGCTGTTCCAGTGTCCGCCACAGTTTCTGGTACTCCCGCCGCAGGCCGTGTGCCTGAGCATGTACGCGTTGGACAAGTTCGAGGACCATCCGCACGCCCAAGCGGTGTTGACCAAGGAGCTGGATGGCCAGTCGGTTGTGGCCCATGTCCTCACCACCGAAGCACAGTTCCTCGAACTGGGCGGCGATCCCCAGGGGGTGTTGGAGAAGGGCAAGCGACGGGCCTGCTTGGTGGCCACACTGTACGACACCTCGACGGCCGAGGACATTCATTTGAACGATTTGGTTGCCAGCAGGATCACCAAGTGTACACCGGCACCTACGCTTTGTGACGAAGCGAAGATTGGTAAGACCACTCCCGTTCTTGTGTCCCACATCAACGACGATGGCGATCTGTTGGTGCTGCTTCGCAACGATGACCTCAAGTTTGTGGAGCGCAGCATTGCCCAAACGGTGGCTGATTTGGGTGAGCAGGACCGAGTGAGCTATTCCGATCTGCTCCACGATCGCCATGTCTTCGTGTGTGATGAGTCGGTCGAGGGCCTGAAGCAGTGGTTCCGCGGGCAATTGGTCACCAGACCCAAGAATCCGGAGGAGGAGACCTTCGACGTCTATTACGTGGACGACGGAAGGCAGCGCAAGACGCACATCTCCAATATCTACCGCCTGGAGGCCAACAACAGAGCGCTGGCCACGTTCCCGCCGCAGGCACTGCCCGTTCGCCTGCACGACGTTCCCGAGATCGCGGGTCAGATGCTGGGGCGTCTTCGCGGTCTCATGCCTGCTCGCAGCCAGGCTCTGGTGGGTTTAACATACGATCTGTTATATATATTTGACTTACCTCTAACCTGTATCCTGTGTACCTTCTCTTGCAGCTCAAGGTTGTGGCCAAGGATGGCGCAAAGCCATTGGTCAACGTCTTCATCCGCGGCCAGGATCCGGAGTCCATGTACATGTGCGTGAACATCGGTCTTCGCATGGAGTTCGAAATGGCTGGGTAAGCGCTTTCATTGGAGGTTTCTGTGCATCGTGTATTCATTCTATATCAAATCATTGTGGTCAATGTCATCTAATCACATCGCCATCAAGCTCCCTACCCAACGACATCTGAATCGTGCCTGGTGCCCTATAAGTTCAGCTAATACATAACTATTATATTCGATTCTCTGGTTAATGCTGTCTCTATTAGTGCTTTCGATAAACTGGAACTGACTTGATAGGCTATCGCATAAACAAATTCGATCAACGCTAACGAAAATACCCCGTAAATAAACCTACTGTAAGCTAACACTAAGTCATTCACATCTTTGTATATAATCTGAAGAATATACTCATAAGTTGTCACACATTACTACCCTGTAAGTTGTCCACAAACAAGCAAAGTTTTTAAACCTCGAAACCAACCCTAAATCCTGCCACACCCAAACCTCTTCTTGTCCCCGTCCCACCGACGATTCCCCACCCGCACAGCTCCATACGTCCGGAGAAGTGCGACGATTTGCCCCTGAGTTCCAACGTCCAGCTGCCCAGGCGCAGCAGCTTCAGCTCTGTGGTCTCCAGCCAGAGCAGTGGCAGCGACCTTGTCGCCCTCACCCCGCCAATAACGCCTCAGAAGGCGGCATCCAACAGATCGGGCGCCACCACTTTCTCTTCACTGCTGCTCAAGGATTATGAGGCCATTCCAGCGGTGGGCGCTTACTTCGAGGTGCGAGTTGCCCTCTCCGTAAATCCCGGTCATTTTGCGGTAAGTCTAACCTATGATATATGATATACATATATGCCTCAATTCGAATACGCTGCCTGTTGCAGGTGCAACCGTATAAGTGCTACAACCAGTTGCAGACTTTGATGAAGGATCTGCAAGAGCATTGCACGGGACCTGCTGCCAAGGGAGTCCAGCCCTCACAGCTGGCCATTGGAGAGGCTTATGCTGCGCCCGACAGCGACGGCGTCTATCATCGGTTAGTTGTTGCCCAGAAAGTGATAAACCAACCAAAAATCCTTCCAAATCATAAAGAATTAATTGGATGTTTACTTATTAATTCAAAAGCTGTTTTGAAATTAACAGTAAAACCATCAATTTGTGTTTATGCTGATGCCACTTGATTGATTTTCTATTTTTATTATATTTTGCAGCGTAAATATTCGCAAGATTTACGATGAAATTATACACGTTCGATTCGTGGATGTGGGCGACGATGGAGTGGTTGCCTGTGATCAACTCAAAACGCTGCAGCCGGATTTAAGGAAGCTGCCCAAAATGGCACTGCCAGCCCAATTATATGGTAGGTTGTGCATATCAAATGCCATGCCTTTGGCCCCCCTAACATTCTATATATCCTGTGCCGCAGGCATTCAACTAGCAGACGTGGTCTGGAGCAAGGATAACTGCGTCCGATTCCGCGAGCTGACGTTGGGTCAGAAGTTCATCGGGATTGTGCGGCGCCTGCACAAGCAGAAGGACGAAACGCGGGCACTCTGCCTAGAACTGGTTGACACCTCCACGCCGAAGGATATTAAGCTGCACGAGATTCTCATCAGCGAGAAGCACGCACAGCCGGAAACGAAGGAAGTCTGAGTGGGGAACGGAGAGTTGAGAGACCAACCACTTGAATTTGTTCACGTTTATGTTTGCTTAATCATAGTTTTAGGATTAGGGACATGTAACTTATTACGACGACACATTCCGCCAGCATGAAGCGGCGATAATAGCCAATAAACAATGGACTTTGCTATCGAGAGAAAGGGTGCACTTGGTTGGCGGACTTGATGTTGGTCTTGACGGCGGAGGGCGCCTTCCCCAGCTGCTGCTGCACGTTGCCGGGACTCATGGCGGGTCCGCCCATGGGCGAGGGTGCCCGGATCGAGGGCGGCACCATCATGCCCGGACCGGGTCCATAGTTGGTCAGCTTGAGGCCCTTGCCCATGCCCACGGCGGCCACGAGGTGCTGCGTGTCCGCCATGCTGCTCGTCTGCTGGATGCCGGTGCGCGAGGAGCTCTCGATCTCCCACTCCTCTCGCGCCTTGCTGACCATGTCCAGGACGTGGGAGACGACCTTGTTGTACTGGGTGACCTGCTTCATGGCGGCGTCGTTGGTCAGGTTGGCCGCCTTCTGCTCGTTCTGGAGCATCTTTTGCTCCGTTATGGGATCCGGCCGGGTTCGCAGGTAGTCGGGAACGATGTCGTGCGAAAAGACCGGCACACGGCCTTCTGTGATGTTAATGAGGGTCTCGTCCCGGTCCATGGAGACCAGTAGGGGCAGAACGGTGCGGTTCCTCAGCGGCGGGCACTGCTCCTTGGCCAGGATCTTGGTCAGGCCGGTGAGGTGACTCGAGATTATGGCGAAGTTGTCCAGGAACGTCGGCCAATTGATGGTCTCGTACTCCAGCTCCAGTTTCTGGATCATGGAGAGCACAGCCATCTTGAGGTCGTTTAGCCGCTGGAGGACTGTGTCCAGCGTCATCTCAAAGAGCTTCTCGTCGCGCTGCATTTTGGTTTGCTTTTGCTCCGAGGTAAGATTATTTTAATTAGTTTTAGAAAAGAGTTTATGTTTTTAATGTTTGGTGCAATGCGTTAGTGTGTCCTAACAGTATGTTTTGTTTTTAAGAAACGGTGCAGAATGGAAAGCGAAGGGGTTTTTTTTAAATATTGCGCTATATTAGTATTTATTCTGCAGCTAGCTGGTATTTTTTAGCCTTAACAACACGGTCACACTGCTGACCAACATGGCCGTCGAGAAAAACTGAACGCAACGCCGTGTTTTACATTTACCACTCTAAAACCTCACGAAATATCGAAAAGCGTGCACGCAAACGTTGCCAAATGTAAGCAAATTAGTCTAGTGCCTGTTTTACATCGTTTACATAATCGCCAGAGCTTAAAATCGGGATTTTATTGCTGTCGTCGGGAGTCTCTCTCTGTCTCACACTCTCCCTGTCTCGCTCTTGCTGACAAGGCAAATATATTGGTGCTGGTGTGTGAGTGTGTCTGTGTATGTGCGTAAACCAACAAAAAGAAAAAAAAAAGAAATGGAAAATGCATATGTGAAAAGAACGCGCAAGCCGGTTGCAAATTGGCCAAATCGCCCGATTTGGGTACGGACTACGCCGCGATATGGATGAAATGGCAGCCGGGTCGTGTCCGCGTTTCACTCTCTACGTTTTCAGCTCTCTGTCACCGCTCTCTCCTGCTGCCCGCGCTCCGAACTCCCTCTGGCTCTCCAACCCTCTCTGCAGCTCTCTTCCTCTCGCTCTCCGCTCTCTCAATATTGTTGATGTTGTTGTTTTCAGTTTGGCCATTTATAATGCTCTCCTAAATGTTTTTTATATTCAATTGTAATATATTTGCAGCTTGTTGTGTATGTTTTTGAAATGGTAAAGTGTGTTGTCGCGTTCGCCAAAACCTAAATCCAAACCCAAACCCTTACCGATTGGGGGTAACAAAACAAGAACAAATCGCTTGGGCAGCAAAATATATACGATACGTGCGCGATATACTATATACATATATATTTGCCAGAGCGAGAAACCGAAATCCCGCGATGGCGTCGCGCAGGCGCGCCGAACTGAATCCCAAACTGCACATGGACAGGCAGCCGACAGCTGCCCGCATAACAGGTACCTGAAAACTGAAACTGAATTCTACCAACCAGCAGCAACTACATATGTAGATGTGGGATAAACCCCCGCCTCGCCGGGATCAGCGATGAAAAGGGATTCCCGGAACGATCTAATGCAATCCACCACCCACCGCCCAGCGCGCACCTTGCCAACCGAAGCTGACCTTTTACCTCTCACCCTTGCAGATCCCTCATTACCCGCCGGCAAGCGACGCGAGATCGACAACGTGATGAAGAAGGCGCGCGCCAACACGACCAACGACTACTGGGACAAGAAGCTGATCGAGGCCGAGGAGAAGGACCCGAATCGATGGCGCCACACGGGCTACAAAAAGATGTACATCCAGGGCGAGAGCAGCTCCGGCGAAAGCGAACGCGAAGGTCGCGATGCCCGCGAAGGTCGTGAGGGCGGAGCGCCTCCCTACGGCCGATATCCGCCCACAGGCGGACCGCCGTCCGGTCCGCCACCGCCGCAGCGATACGGCCGATCCCGTTCGCCCCATTCGCGCAGTCGGTCGCGTCTGCGCAAGTCGCCGCCGCTTTCGCCGCCACCACGTCGTCGATCGCCGCCGATGACCATGCACGGTGGCATGGACCGCCGTGGCGGACCGCGCTCGCCGCCCATGCCGCGTTCGCCGAACAACAACCACGACGCCCTCATGCGTCGGCCCGGCAATGGCCACGGCGGCAGACCCCGATCCCCGCCGGAACCCAGTGGTGGCTCGTCCTCCTCGTCGCTGCGACGCAAGCCAAACGCGTCGCGATCTCCGCTTGGTCGACGCCGGTCTCCCCCGCTTCCGCCGCCATCGTCGTCGGGAATGGAGAAGCGGGGCCCCGTCGCCCACATCCTGCCGCGTTCCAAGCGCCCGCCATCGCCACCGCCGAGAGTAAGTACCGAACACCTCTTTTGGGAGTGCTCTTAACCTTTTTTGGCACAGTACAATACTCTAAATAAGGAATACGTTTTATAAATTTCCTGTTTAAAACCTAATGTTTGCCTTAAAATGTTATAAACAAAACAAATGGCATAATGACATTTTAGAAAGACATTAGTTTCCGATTTTGTTAATCTTATTTATCAATCATCGCCATAAGTTCAGTTGGTAAATAGTTTAATATAATACGTTTTTATTTTAAATCTTCCTTCAGCACTCGATGCGTTCGCGTTCAAACAGCTCGATGAGCAGCAGCTCCGATGATTCCTGCTCCATTTGCTCGCCCAGCCATCGTCATAGATCTCGGTAAGCCAAACAGTGCGCTAAGCTTTGTCTGGATTTGAATTAATAATGTATTATCTACTATTGCAGATCCCGCGGTCCGCGTTCGCCGCCACCGAAGCCACGTGGCCATTATCGTACGGGGGCGCCGCCGCCCCCACCGTCGGAGTCACATGGCCGCATCCATGGTCGCCCCAGTACTCCACCGCCCGTGCGCGGAGGTGGAGGCAGTTCGGTATCCGCCATGGAGAAGTACCGCCAGGCGAAGATGCGACACATCGGCCATGATCGTGGCTCCTCGTCGGATGTGCACATGAAAATCGCGCGAACGTCGCGCCACTCGCCGCCGCCTGAAGATCCGCGTCTCAAGCACCGTCCGCCAGAGCCACCAGAGCCGGCAGCAGCGCCCACAGGAGCTCCGGCAGCACAGGCCAAAAAGAAGAAGAAGGAGAAGGAGGTGAGTACTAGACTTTATTATCTATTTTCGATTAAAATAAAATACGTAATAATCTGATTTTAAATTAATGGTCGATATCTTTCCCAAATCATTATAAAACTTGATCAAAAACTTTAAGTGTTACTTTGTCGCCACTAAACTGCCTACAAATTCATTAAGAACAAGTTCTTATATCACTATTAAAGTCACAGGCGTTTATAAAAAGTCAGCTTAACTCGTTTCCTATAAAACATAGCTCTAATAATATTAAAATCTACTACCCCATAGATAAGGCCACGCATTAAAATTGAAGGTGAGAAACGCAAAAAGCATCCGAGCGGGACGACCAGTGGCACCGGAGCTAACGCGGCGAACTCCTCCTCGGATTCGGACGATTCGAACGGCTCGGACAGCGACGAGGTCGGCACGCTGCCCACATTCTCGGCTACGACGCGGCTGACGCTCTCGGAGCGATTCGGCAAAATGGCGCAGTGGAGCATCGATCGCAGCAACATGGAGAATATGCGCATCACCAAAGACTCCGCCGGTGGGGCCCTCAAGGTGATGATCGAAGAGGGCCTGGAGTCGCCGCCGCGTCGCTATTCGTATTCGCCGGCACCGGCCGGGCATTTTCCGGAGGAGTTGGCCACCACAGCACCGTCGGGTATGCTGTCGTGGGACGATGTGCGCGTCCGTTACGAGTACTACAAGAGTCGTGGCTACTTGAGGGACTTGGATCTTAAGGTAGGCGGTGATTTAACCAGTTTCCAGCTTCCCTGAGCAAAAATTAATTTGCGAAATGTTCTTTTGTTTGCAGGACTATATCAAGTGGGAAGAGTGGTGGTATAAATACCAGGAGTGGTTGAAACAGGAACGCTACTATGAGTACTGGGATCGCAGTCAGCAATTGCGCAGACGACGCAAAAAGCTGCCGGTCACTCAGCGCTTAAATTGAGAGCCCCCCGCATCTCAGTAATTTCATTAACTCATCCTCTTTCCCCTACTCCCCAGAATTCAGTTCATTTAATTGATTTAATTTTGATCTTCATTTATGTTGTATCCTAACCATTTCCGCATCCCATCATCCCCTTTTGTACATTTAAAATGTATAAAACTGCATTTGTCAGCTTACATAACTAATAACAATTACCAGCCAAGCACCCGAAGGTGGTTGACTCGTGGTCCCCGACATCCTGCTTTTGGCGTAGGGTTTCCATTAACACTGAACTTTGTAAGTTTTTTTGAGGGCATGTTGTGCAGTACAACATACCCAAATATTTGTAAACGCATTAAATAACAGTCAGTATAAAAACGGTTTACTCTTACTGGAGGGATAATTGTTTATTATAATGGGAAGTATTATATTAAATTGTAATAATATTATTTTTCATGTGATACCTTAATGTAATGCCATTGCTTACACTTTTCGATCGTAAGTTTGTAAAGCTGTGAAAAAGAGTTTTGTTTTA